ACCTCAGCCTCCCAAAGGCGCGGGATTACAGGCTGAGCCACCGAGCTCGGCTGCCTCTGATCATTTTTATTCCCTCTGAGAATTAGAATTTCTGATCCCTTTATTAAGGAGACATTTGTTTCTTCTGGCTTATTTAAATGGCAATTATAGGATTTAAAAACTGGAAGTGACATTAGAGACCATGTATCTGGTCTATCTGCTCCATTATTTTTTATTTTATTTTCTCTATTTCAATAGCGTTAGGGGGTACAAGTAGTTTTTGGTTACATGCTTGCATTGTACAAAGAAGTCTGGGCTTTAAATGCACCCACCACCCCCACCTGTATACAGTGTACCTGATAGGGGATTTTTCATCCCTTCACCCCCTGCCCCTCCTCTATCTGAGTCTTCAGCGTCCATTTTACCATCCTCTATGCCTTTACAGGGCTTTGGTTTAGTGCCCACTTATAAATTAGAACACGCGGTGTTTGGTTTTCTGTTTCTGCATTAGTTCACTTAGGGGGATCATCTCCAGTTCCATCCAAGTTGCTGCAAAAGATATTATTTTATTCTTTTTGATGGCTGATTAGTATTCCACAGTGTGTGTGTGTATATATATATATATACACCACATTTTCATTATCCACTGTTCAGCTGATGGGCATTTAGATTGATTTGATATCTTTGTAATTGTGAATTGTGCTGTGATTAACATGCGAGCACAGGTGTCTTTTTTGTGTAGCAACGTCCGCCAGTTCCATTTTACAGAGTGATAACTGAAGCTGAAGAACTTAGCTCACAGGCCAAAGGCCACCCCATGGGTTAATTATACTGCAGGACAGGAGGACAGGTACTTTCTGGTGCCTGTCACCTAGTAGGAACCTAGCACATGTTTTTGTACAAGTGAATGAATGAGTGAGTGAGATCAGGAGATACCTTGGATGTGATCACCTGGGGGTATTACATATGGAACTTCCACTCAGAGGAGTGGTCATCATGGTGCAGGAGCAGATCTTGATGGTTCAAGGGGCAGAGCAGGGCTGCTGAGGATGGTGACAGCACAGCAGAGTCTACGTGGATTCCTGAACGTTCTTGTTTCAATGGTTTTGCCTCTGTGATCCCTTTTTTTTTTTTTTTTTGAGTTGGAGTCTCACTCTGTCACCCAGACTGGAGTGCAGTGCCCACTCCCGGCCACCGCATCCTCGACCTGCTGGGCTCCGGCGATCCTTCCGCCTCAGCCTACCAAGTAGCCGAAATTACAAGCATGCGCTACCACGCCCGGCTGATTTTTTGATTTATTGTAGAGATGAGGTCTCGCTGCCCAGGCAGGTCTCGAACCTGTGGGCTCAGGCAATCCACTCACCTCAGCCTCCCAAAGGCGCGGGATTACAGGCTGAGCCACCGAGCCCGGTTTGTGATCCCTTTTTAACAGAAATTCTTGGAGCACCCAGAATTGTACGTGCCACCCCTGGCACCCCATCCTCTCCCACTCGCTGACATGATCCCCAAGAAGCTGACGTTGGCACAGTTGAAGAGTCGCTTCCCTAAGTGCGCTGAGCTGCAGGGCTACTGCCCAGTAACCTACCAGGATGGGAAACAAAGGTAAGTCCTCACCTGGTGGGAGGAGGGACCCATAGCTCCCCCAGAACCACTGGGTCACAGTACAAGCTTCACATTCTGGTCAAAAGGTCGCTACCATTTGGTTAGAAAAATGTCCTATATTTTTCTTGAGCTGCCTGGGTGGAAAAATAAAATTTTTTGACATTTTATTTCACAGTACTGCATATTAATTCTACAATAAGGTTTTTTGGTGATTTTTTGGTCTTTCAGATATGAAGCCCTCGTGCCTGGTAACATTAACTTTGCGTTAGAATATCGTGATCGTATATACATTTGTGAGAGTAAAGAAAAACTCCAGAAATTTTTGAGGTAAGATCATTCACAAAATCACAAATATGTATTAAGTATCTTCTGTGTGTCATGCAATAGGCTGGGAACTTAGGAGGGGAGGGGAGGGGTGTGTGTGTGTGTGTGTGTGTGTGTGTGTGTGTGTGTGTGTGTGTGTGTGTGGTGTGTGAGGGTGAACAAGGACGGGTTCCTGCCATTCTATAGCCTGAGGTCCAGGGCAAGATAGGCTTTAAGTACGTATTAACAGCAGATTATGATAGGGTTTAGGGTAGGAAAACGCCTAGACTTCTGGAAGAGGGTAGCCCAAAGCTCTGAATGAATTGTATATTGGAGTAAGAGTGGAATAAGGAGTGGGAACCAGCCAGATGATGGGAAAAAGGGAAACTTTCCAAACAGAGGGACCTGCAAACAAACCTGACCCAGTGGATCACTGAATTACAGAAACTTCAGCGTGACTGGACATGATGTGCAGAGAAGGGACAAAGACCAGGCTGGGTGGGGAGGGCCAGAGTATATGGAAGCTTACATGAAACCATGAAGGTTTGGGCTTGATCCCCAGGGTAGTATGAGTACGTGAACTGGTTGTCAGAGCAGTGTTGTAATGAAATTTGCTCTGGAGTGAGGCCATCATTGGAGTGTTGATGATGGGGCTGAGGCAGGAATACCAGTTATGAGGCTAAGACTGTCCAAAATATGACAGCATGTTTGAGCTCACCCAAAGAGCTGTGTGAGGACCCACCCCCTGAGAAGCACCAAGGCACAAATGTCACAAGAAGAGCTTACAAGAGAGACTGAGAAAGAAGAAACATAGAGAAGTAACAGACAGCCAGGATGGGGAGGACCGGGGAAGCAGAAGGGAGGGGAGAGGTGTCTGGGATGGTGTGGTCAATAGGTATATGCAAGCAAGACAAGGCTGAACCCTTTGAGATATGGGTTGCAGCCGATCACTGGAGATCTTGGCAAGAATGGGTCAGTTGAGTGAAGTGAGTGGAAGTCAACTACAGAGATCCATGATGTGAATGAGAGATGAGGAAATTAAGACCTCTCCTATGGTGGAGAAGTAACAAACACAGACGCTTATAGTACCCGGAGACCAAAGACCTGAGAGAGGTGGGTTGGGCGTGAAGCAACAGAAGTAGGGGCCTCACTGCAAATAGGACTGCACATAGCCTGACCAAAGGGAACTGCAACGCCCATCTACTGTCAGGTGTTTCTGCTTTTCACAAGAAGTAGGAAACCAGCCAGGTGCAGTGGCCCACACCTGTAATCCCAGCACTTCGGGAGGCAGAGACAAGAGGAATGCCTGAACTCAGGGGTTTGAGACCAGCCTGGGAAACTTGGCCAGACCTCCTCGTCTCTACCATAAATCAAAAAATTAGCCAGGCCTGGTGGCACATGCCTGTGGTTCCAGCTACTTGGAAGACTGGGGCAGAATGATTGCCTGAATCCAGTAGGTCGAGGCTGTGGTGGTCATGAGCGTGCCACTGCACTCCAGCCTGGGCGACAGAGTGAGACTCTGACTCAAAAAAAAAGAAGTGGAAACCAAATTTCTTTTTAAATTGTTTGGATTACCTAACCCCAGTCAGAATGGCAATTATCAACAACTCAAAAAATAACAGCTACTGGAGAGGGTGTGGTGAAAAGGGAACACTACTACACTGGTGGGAGTGTAAACTAGTGCAACCTCTGTGGAAAGCAGTGTGGCGATTCCTAAAAGCTCTAAATATTAACCTCCCATATGCCCCACAATCCCCCTACTGGGAATATATCCTGAAGAACTCAAATCACTCTATAAAAAAGATACCTGCACACGTATGTTTATCGCAGCATTGTTCACAATAGCAAGAACTTGGAAGCAACCATGCTGCCCATCAAAAGAGGACTGGATTTTAAAAATGTGGTACATATACACAATGGAATACTACGCAGCCATAAAAAAGAACAAAATCATGAATTTCACAGCAACCTGGATGGAACTAGAGTCTATAATACTGAGTGACCTCTCACAAAAACAAAGATCCAAGTATCACATGTTCTCACTCATATAATGGACCTTGAACATCCAATGTGATGCTATAAGAAAATGACTGACAGTAGTGGGAAACTATGGTGGGGGAGGGAGATGGGATTAACGGTAACAAACATCTGTCTGGGGACGGGGAAATACCTCTTATCAACAGGGTGCCTGAACGAAAACATATTTGTATACCTAACCCTTAACTGTACCCCACACTATCATAATAAAAAATATTGATAAAAAAAATTGTTTGGATTTTTAAAGATCCCGACTGAAGCTTAGCACAGTGGCTCATGCCTTTAATCCCAGCACTTTGGGAGGCTGAAGTGGGAGAACTTCTTGAGTCCAGGGGGTTCGAGACTAGCCTGGGCAACATAGCAAGATCTCATCTCTACAAAAACATTCTTTTAAAAATCAGCCAGGCGTGGGGGCGCACACCTGTATCCCGGGTACTTGGGAAACTCAGTTGGGAGGATCATCTGAGCCCAGGAGTCCAAGGCCGTTGTGAGCTGTGATGGTGCCACTGCACTCCAGCCTGGGCAAGAGAATGAGACCCTGAAAAAAATAAAATAAAATAAAATCACGACTGGTTCAAATTTAGGAAATATTATCAAATCCCATCTGCAGATAGAATTTGTGCAGTAGCTTATGATCTCTAATGAAGCTTACTGTTTGAAGAAGTTTAACTATAAAAAAGATATTAGTAAGGCCAGGCATGATGGCTCAAACCTATAATCCCAGCATTTTGGAAGGCAGAGGTGAGAGGACTGCCTGAGGTCATGGGTTTGAGCACTTGACCTCTACAAATCAATAAAAAATAGCTGGGCATGGTGACTTGTGCCTGTAGTTCTAACAGCTATTTGGAAGGTTGAGGTGGAAGGATCTTCTGAGCCTAGCAGGACAAGGCTGTGGTGGCCATAAGCATGCCACTGCACTCCAGCCTGGGGAACAGAGTGAGACTCCGACTCAAAAAAAAACAAACACGTTAGTTACCGAAAGGGTAATAGGGTTTAAATAGTGAAGGTGGCTTTTCTTTTGCTTCCTTTCCTTTTTAAATGGAGAATGGCCGGGCTCAGTGGCTCAGCCTGTAATCCCGCGCCTTTGGGAGGCTGAGGTGAGTGGATTGCCTGAGCCCGCGGGTTCAAGACCCACCTGGGCAGTGAGACCTCATCGCTACAATAAATCAAAAAATCAGCCGGGCGTAGTAGCGCATGCCTGTAATTCCAGCTACTTGGAAGGCTGAGGTGGAAGGATCGCCAGAGCCCAGCAGGTGGAGGCTGCGGTGGCCGGGAGCGGCCACTGCACTCCAGTCTGGGTGACAGAGTGAGACTCCAACTCAAAAAATATATACATATATTAAAAAAAAAAAAAATGGAGAATGACTTAAATGCAGATGTATGGAAAAAAGCCAGTAAAGAAGGAAATGCCAAAGAAGCCAGGGAGAGAGTTCTCACTGTTGTAGTAAGACACCTGGAGAGAAAGTGCCACGGGACCCAAGTACAGGTGGGGACAGGTCTCAGATGGAAGGCACCTCCACCATGGGAAGAGGACATGCAGGCGGCTCTGTGCATGACCAGCAGCTGATGGCTTCTTTCTCTGGGGAGCGAGGGGGAACTTGGGAGAGTCAGAAGTTTGGGGAGAATAAAGAAAGTTGTATATCATTGCTATGAAAAATAAGAACACTGAGTGAGACAAGGAGAGCAGGGCTAAGGACCCAGGTGACACATGTAGCTCTGAACTTCTAGTGGGCTTCCTGCTTGTGTAGTCTTCTCTGGTAGAGAGAAGCAAGCAGTGAATTTTATCTTTTAATCGTGTGTTGAATATTCTGCTACATGCATACTGAGTATAACCAAGGAGCATCTATTTCGTGAACTCTGTGTTATCAGGTCGCCACTGAAATACTGGGACCAGAAGCTTCCACGCAAACTTCCCCCGCTAAGACAGCCGATCTCTCTTACCAGCCTTCCTTTGCCTGGATATCTGGAGCAGGTTCTGTTACATAATTTTCTTTTATACGTGTTAAAAGAGTACAGTAATCTCTTCTTCTCAACACTAATTCTCATTTGGGTAACAATAAAATTCAAGGCAGAGTTGACTGATTTTTAAGCTGCAAATCCATGCTTAATCTATTTTGTTTATGGGTGATTGTCAAAATAAAATGTATGACAATTCCCTGCTTCCACAGCTCCTTCCCAAGTATCTGCACTAAAGTGAAGAGAAAGTAGATTGATGTAAAATTATTTACATTTGACTTGGAAATGTAGTTTGGTTCTGTTTTTGAATTTCAGTGTCTGTAAAACTTTCGTAATTTGAAATGTGCAGACTCTATCACTGAGTGGCTTATTCACTGTTCAAAAGAGTTGAGATACAGAGACAGAACTGAACCACAAAGCCTGTATTTTGCCCCAAATCCAGATGAAGTCAGTTCAGTTCTGTTTATTTATTATCATTTATTTGCTCAATTCAAGTCACATTTTATTTGTCTGAATATAACTCTTTTAAGAAATAGTAAGCCGGGTTCGGTGGCTCAGCCTGTAATCCCGCGCCTTTGGGAGGCTGAGGTGAGTGGATTGCCTGAGCCCGTGGGTTTGAGACCCGCCTGGGCAGCGAGACCTCATCTCTACAATAAATCAAAAAGTCAGCCAGGCGTGATAGTGCATGCCTGTAATTCCAGCTACTTGGAAGGTTGAGGCAGAAGGATCGCCGGAGCCCAGCAGGTCGAGGCTGTGGTGGCCGGGAGCGGCCACTGCACTCCAGTCTGGGCAACAGAGTGAGACTCCAACTCAAAAAAAAAAAAAAAAAAGAAATAGTAACAGCACTTTGGGAGGGGGAGACGAGAGGATTGCCTGAGTCCAGGGGTTGGAGACCAACCTGGACAACTTGGAGAGACCTCATCTTTACAATAAATCAAAAATTAGCCAGGTGTAGTGGCATGCGCCTGTAGTTCCAGTTACTTGGGAGGCTGAGGAGGAACGATTGCCCAAGCCCTGCAAGTTGAGGCTGTGGTGAGCCATGATCGTGCCACTGCACTCTAGCCTGGGCAAGAGTGAAACGCCGACTCAAAAAAAAAAGGAACACTCAGCAGCCAACCACTATTTTTTTCTATTTTTATTTTTTAACATTTTTAAAGCTCATTTTTAAAAATTTCTCCAAAATCCATGCTTAAGACACAATTTCATACCTTCGTCACTTTGTTCTTTCAGTTTGCCTAGAAGGTTTGCCTTGGGTCTGGTTTAACATCAAAATGCCAGATGAGGATCACATCAAGAGTGTTATCCTAAAAGTCAAGTTTTATCAGGAGGACCTCTTACTTCTTCTGGACCCCAGAATCTTGACTGCAGTGATCACTGTGGCCTCTGGAATGCCTTGTCAGGTGGCCAAGGATCCTCATAGTGGGAGGCGATCCAGCCAGTTCTGAGAAGAGAAGCCAGGATGCTATTTGAGACAGGGAATAAGCTTCTTTATGTATTTGTACAAGAAAAGAAGCCACAGTCAAGTATATACATAATTTAAATTGTTTCCTACCTGCAGGGTATTGCAACCTCTCTAATTAAAGCAATGAATGCTGCAGGATGCCTGAAGCCCAAATTCCCCTTCTTAAGTCTGAGAAGATCCGCACTACTGTATATAGCATTTCATCTAAAAGGTATGTCTTTATTTAATGATTTACTACTCAGAACTAATCTAATATCAATGGTAGTATATGTGGTGAATAAAATTGTTAAGCTGGGTTGGTTGCTAGGTTGGAGTGTGAGAATGTATGTGTGTGTTTGTGTGTATGTATGTGTGTGTTGGTGGCAAATATAATGCAGGGCAGATATTTTAAATAAAATATCAAAATTGAGGCTGGGCATGGTTGCTCATGTCTGTAATCCCAGCACATTGGGAGGCTGAGGTGAGAGGATAGCTTGAGGCCAGGAGTTCAAGAACAGCCTAAGCAACATAGTGAGACTTCATCTCTACAAAAAAATTTAAGAAAAAAATTTACTGGGCATGGTGGTGTGTGCCTGTAGTCCCAGGTACTCCGGAGGCTGAGGTGGAAGAATCGCCTGAGCCCAAGCATTAGAGGCTGTGGTGAGCTGTGATTGTGCCACTACACTGCAGCCTGGGTGAAAGAGTAAGACCCCAACTCAATAATAATAATAAACAAAATTGAATTTCTAGTTTTCAAAGTAGAGACTGTGAGTAATGTAATAAAAATGCCATAGAGAAAGGTGAATACTGGCAATTGTGACCTAAAACAGGATCATTCCCAAATCTTATTAGGGATTTGAATATCTTCTTAGCTATACAACTCAATCACACATCCAGTTCTCTTTCTTTTTCTTTTCTTTTCTTTTTTTTTGAGTTGGAGTCTCACTTTGTCACCCAGACTGGAGTGCAGTGGCACACTCATGCCCACCACAGCCTCAACCTGCTTGGGCTCTGGAGATCCTTCTGCCTCAGACTTCCAAGCAGCTGGAACCACAAGCATGCACCACCACACCTGGCTAATTTTTTTTATTTATTGTAGAGATGAGGTCTTGCCAAGTTGCCCAGGCTGTTCTCGAACCCCTGGGCTCAGGCAATCTTCTCAGCCTCCCAAAGTGCTGGGATTACAGGCTTGAGTCACTGTGCCTGGCTCAGTTCTTTTTCATTAAATGACTCACTACCTACCAGAAAACATTCACAGTTCTGTGACATTTTCTACAGCATTTTAATCCCAAAGGCTCTGAATACACAAGAAAAAAGTATAAGAAGAAGATGGAGCAGTTTTTGGAAAGATGTGAACTCATAACATACCTGGGTGCCAAGATGACCAGAAAATACAAGGAACCTCAGTTTAGAGCCATTGACTTTGATCATAAATTACAGGTCTTTCTCTCTCTCAGAAATATAGACCCAGTTAATGGTTAGTTTATTCAGGTAACAGCAACCTGAGTCTCAAGTTATCTCAAAGTGACAGAGGGAAGTTGAAAGAAGTAGACTGGAAACCTGGCCCTCTGTGAAGTATGTTTCCCTCCTGAGAAATGGCAGCCAGATTTCAGATGGACTCAAAGGTCCACCGCCCAGGAAGGTGTGCTCTTTTGTAAGCATAAGTTTGCATCCATTTCTAAAGTTTATTGCTCTTTGCCTGAACTTTGATGCTTTAACAAAACAGACATTCCATTTAGAATTCCATCTAAAATGTTTAAGTAACATATTTAATGTATTATTTTCCTTCTTAACATTTTCAGTAGAAAAATCAGTCTCTGCTTAAGAAAATTGCTCATTAAATGTTAGACACTTCAAGAGACAAAATTAACATGGTTATTTATAAAACAAATATTGGTTACATGTTTACATAAGGAATTGTTTGTAAACGTTGTGTACATAAGGCACTGTCATGTTCCCATCAAAATAAAGGGTTTTTGCCATAACTGATGTGCTGCCTCTTTTCTTTTTCTTAAGGATTCACTGAAGCGAGTTTTATTCATTATTTTGTAATAATGGGAGGCTGAGGTGGGAGAATTGCCTAAGCCCAAGAGTTCGAAACCAACCTGGGCACCATAGTGAGACCTCATCTTTATAATAAAAAGAAAAAAATAGCCAGGCATGGTGGCGCACACCTGTAGTCCCAACTACTTGGAAGGCTGAGGTAGAAGGATCACCTGAGTGCAGCAGGTAAGGCTGCAGTAGCTGTGATCTTGCTACTGCACTCCAACCTAGGTGACAGAGTAAGACTCTAACAATAACAAAAAAAACTAACTGAAGTTTTAAAAGGATGAACTCTAAAGTCATCAGATGTGATGTCTATCAAAAAGTATATGCGACCGGGCTTGGTGACTCAGCCTGTAATCCCAGCACTTTGGGAGGCTGAGGCGAGTGGATTGCCTGAGCCCAAGGGTTTGAGACCAGCCCGGGCAACTTGGCGAGACGGCGTCTCTACAATAAATCAAAAATTAGCTGGGCTTGGTAGTGCACACCTGTAGTTCCGGCTACTTGGAAGGCTGAGGTGGAAGGATCACTGGAGTCCAGCAGTTCGACGCTGGAGTGGCCGTGAGCGTGCCACTGTACTCCAGTCTGGGCAATGGAGTGAGACTCCAACTCAAAAAACAAAAACAAAAAAGCATAAGCTAGAGGAAAAGTTATGAAATTGAATTTAAATGAGATTTTAAAAATAAGGTAATATTTTATTAGCTGTATAAAAAGATACAGAATGGCCAGGTCCAGTGGCTCATGCTTATAATCCCAATACTTTAGGAGGTAGAGGTGAAATTGCTTGGACACAGGGGTTCAAGACCAGTCTGCGCAACTTGGCAAGACCTTGTCTCTACAATAAACCAAAAAATTAGCCGGGTGTGGTGGTGCATGCCTGTAGTTCTAGCTACTCGGATGGCTGAGGCAGAAGGATCGCCTGAGCCCAACAGGTTGAGGCTACAGTGAGCCATGATCATGCCACTGCACTCCAGCCTGGGAGACAGAGTGAGACTCTGACTCAAAAAAAAAAAAAAGAAAGAAAAAAGAAAAGATACAGAATGTGAAACAAGACTGGCTCTTGAAAAAAATAAAAAATATGATTGCTAACTGTGTAACCTTGGGTAAATCTCAATTTCTTCTAGCCTTGGTTTGTTAATCTCTAAAATGAATGATCTACCTCTTTGATCCCTATAAATCCAATAATGTTAATTTAAAAATTAGAAGCCTGTTGTAAATATCTCTTGCATAACATATTTCACAATAAAATGATTTTCAAACAAAAGCTGGAAGTCTATTGTCAAAGTGAGGATAAACTGCAAAAACCTTTACTTTTCCAGAGATTGGGAATCGCCAGTAGCTATCAATTTTGCTGGCAATGTAAGCCCCTAAGTCCCTGCCAATTTCTCTCTCTCTTTTTTTTTTTTTGTCTCACTCTGTCACCCAGGCTGGAGTGCAGTGGTACATCTTGAACCCCTAGGCTCAGGCAATCCTCTTGCCTCGGCCTCCCAAAGTGCTGGGATTACCAGCATAAACCACTGCACCCAATTCTGCTCATTTCTTAATGTCTGTAATTTACAATCTACTGGTTTTTTTCATTCTTCCCAAGATGCAAATGTCCCCAGGTCTCTTCAGGCTGTAAGTATAATGAGTTTTCTTTAGTAGTTAAACCCAAAGTGCCTCGTTTCAGTGCCCCCACCTTTATGAAGGTCCCTGCAGGACACCAGGCATCTCTTGGGGCCTCCAGAGCGCTTCCCCCATTCTTCTGAGCAAGTTCACACGCACTGGGCATCACCCAGCTCCTGGGGACGATGCTCTCCTTATGGCTGAACCCTGAGAACACTATGAACCCAAGGAGGCTGAACTCAAGCTCATCCAAGAGGGGCTGCTGAGAACTCATGTCCCCCCTCTTCTTAGGGGCAAGAAGATCAGTCTCTGAAATGAGTTGGAAACCAGAAGCCTTGAGTCCCCCCCCTTGGCCCCGCCTCCATGGAGTCTCTTCCTCTGAGTAAATCTACACAACAGAGTGTAGCAGGTAGGGGCAGTGGGTATGGAGTAAGGAATCCGATTTCCCAGAGTAACTTCTCGCTCTGGACATTCCAGGTCCCTCATACTTGCATGCAAGTACACTGGACCTTGGCTACATGTGGGACCTTATTTAGAAAACCTCAGCAGGGCTACCATTTCTGGGCTGTTTGCTAGGTGGCCAGAGGGTGTGCTACTGGCTTCACATACATTATCTCATTTCTCTTCCACAGGAGAAGAGCTTCCTACCCAAGATCACATAAGTGGTAGAATCCAGGTTCAGACCCAGAACAGCCTAACTAGAAAGCGTAGCTGCTCCCTACACCGTAAGCACATCTTGAAACCCACCACAACAGTGCCAGTGTTTTGTTCTGTTTTGTTTTGTAGTCAGAATCTTACTCTTTCACCCAGGTTGGAGTACAGGGGTAGATCACAGCTCACAGCAGTCTCAACCTCCTAGGTTCAGGAGATCCTTCCGCCTCAGCCTCCCAAGTAGCTAGGACTACAGGTGCACACCACCATGCCTGGCTTTAAAAAAAAAAAATTTTGTAGAGATGAGGTCTTGCTATGATGCCCAGACTGGTCTCAAACTCTGGAGCTCAAGCAATTCTCCCTCCTCAGCCTCCCAAAGTGCTGGGATTATAGACGTGAGCCACCGCGCTCAGCCTAGTGTCTGTGTTTTAAGGCTCATCATTGGCCAGAGTCCTTTGCATGCATGTATGTTGGAAGACCCTTGGGAAAGTCTTCTAAGAGCCTGAGAACCACCTTCACCCCACCCCCATTCCCGCTCCAAACGTGCACGCACACCCATCTGTCATGTTAACTCTCCTTCTTGGAGGAGCAAGCTGTGTTTTCTTTAGCACACAATGCCAAGGGGTCTGTGTCCCTAACAAGCAGCAACAGAATTTCTGCAATGAAAAAGGAGAGCATGTATCATTTTAAAATCTCTTATTGAAATTCTCCTTTTGTTTAAAATTTATGCTTGCATATAATTTTTTTTTTTTTTTGAGTTGGAGTCTCACTCTGTCACCCAGACTGGAGTGCAGGGACCGCTCCCGGCCACCACAGCCTCGACCTGCTGGGCTCCAGTGATCCTTCCGCCTCAGCCTTCCACGTAGCTGGAACTACAGACGTGCGCTACCACGCCCGGCTAATTTTTTGATTTATTGTAGAGATGAGGTCTCGCCTGCCCAGGCGGGTCTCGAACCCGCGGGCTCAGACAATCCACTCACCTCAGCCTCCCAAAGGTGCGGGATTACAGGCTGAGCCACCGAGCCTGGCTACATATAATTTTTTAATTGTTTACTTTTTTGAGATAGGATCTTACTGTGTTGCCCAGGCTGGAGTGCAGTGGAGCAATCATAGCTCGCTGCAGCCTCAAACTCCAGGGCTCAAGTGATCTTTCCACCTCAGCCTCCCTAGTAGCTGGGACTGGTGAGTGCCATCATAGCTAGCTAATTTTTTTTTTGTAGAGATGTGATCTTGCTACATTGCCCAGCCTGGCCTCGAATTCCTAGACTCAAACGATTCTCCTAACTTGGCCTCCCAACAGTCTTTAACTTATAAACTTTTAAATTAAAAAAAAAACATTTTGACTCTTCTGTAATAACACAGTTTAAAACACAAACTCATGGTACAGCTAAATAAAAATATTTTCTTCCTTTATATTTTTATTCTATAAGATTTTTTCCTACTTAATGTCTTTTTTTTTTTTTTTTTTACTTAAACTTTTCTGTTAAAAACCAAGACACAACACACACATTATTCCAGACTTACACAGGGTTATGATCATCTGTGTCACTGTCCTCCACCTTCCCATCCTGTTCCCCTGGAAGGTCTTCAAAGGCAATAACAGGCATAAAACTATCACCTCCTCTGATAACACTGCCTTCTTCTGGAATACCTCCTGAAGGACAGGAGTAGAAGGGGCACATTCTAAAATAATGATTTAAAAAGTATAATATGGTAAATACACAACCAGGAACATAGTCATTTATTATCATTACCAAGTATCACATGCTATACATAATTTAATTGAAGGCAGTACAGGTTTGTTTACACCAGCTCCACCACAAACACATGAGTAAAGCTTTGCGTTAGGAAACTGCAAGGCTATGTCACTAGGCAACAGGAATTTTTCAACTCCAGTATAATCTTATGGCGCCACTGTGTATGTACAGTCTGTTGTTGACCGAAACATCATTATGTAGCACATGCCTGTAATTAGTATTTTCTGCATTCCCTTAAGATGTTCTCTTGATGCTCTGTAGTTTGACTGCAGAGTGTCTTGGTATGGATTTCTTTTTTGTTTATCCTTTTTGGAATTTGTTATGCTTCCCAAATCTGTAGATTTGTGTTTTGTATCAGTTCTGGAAAATTCTCATCATTACTGTTAAATATTGTTTCTCACCTTCTTTCTAGTCTTTCCATCTGTAATTCTAATTAGTTTATATGGTAAATCATCTGTTCTTCATGTCTCTTCAGCTTTCTTCCATAAATTTTAACTCTTTATTTCAGACCAACTTTCTGGGCAATTTCTTCATCTCTGTCTTCTAGATCACAGATTCTCTCTTCAGCTATTTAACCTGTCCACGAAACTTTGTGTGTATTTATGTGTAAATAGTATTGAAATGTAATCCAATGAGTTTTAAATTAAATGAATTACACTTTTATTTCTAGAAAGTGTCTGGGGGAGACATTCTTGTGACAATTTTGACAGGTCACAAATGTTTAGAGGAGACTTTCCCTCTCATTGTAGTCAAGGCCAAGAAAAACACTTTTTATTGCTACGTAGATAGATGTTTCTGATTTTTCTAGTCCACCCCATTCATGGAGTTACTGAAGGGCCTGACTTATATGGACGGTCTCTGTTCCAATTTCCTACTGACGTATGTCAAAGGCTTTTTCTCCAAGTCCCAGCATACCTGCTAAAACTTAAGCCTTTTAGGTTCTGGCTTCAATAAATACTCCTATGATTTCTGTGGTCCCAAGGCTAGCTTACTACTTTTATTTCAATTCCCTCTACTTTTTGGTCACGAAAATTTCCTTTAAGCTTTATCATGCATTTTTCTCTTTTCATTTCTAACTGTCTTGTAGTGGGAGGGTTTTTCACGATATTAACTCCCTATATTGGCAGAACCAGACGTCCTTTCTGATTGAGGTTGCCAGATAAAACACAGGATGCTCGGTTTAATTTGAATTTCAGATAATCAAGTAGTTTAAGTACAAGAATGTCTCATATTTATCCTTTTGGATTTTTTTAAAAGAAAGAAAGGACTATCCCATGTTATATTAGTCGTTGCACTATCATTTAGATTTTATGGGGTTTTGGGCACAGGGGTGCATGCCTATAGTCCCAGCTACTCAGGAGGCTGAGGCAGAAAGATCGCTTGAGACCAGGAGTTTGAGACCAACCTGGACAACATAGTGAGCTTTCTTCTGGTTGCCCTGTGTTTTTATTTGCAAAGTCTGGCAACTCTACCTCCACTCCCTCTGTTGCCATTCTGCCCTTTGCTCTCTGTGCTCGAGATGCACAGACCTTTCTGTTTCTCAGATGTACCCAGCTCACTCTCAGGCTCACGGCCTTTTGCTTGCTTTTTCCTTGCTTCAAACATTCTTATTCCAGATCTTCACAAATTTGAAATTTGATTACACTTCCCCTGTCAGTCTCTGTCATCACTCTTTATAAAATTTAACACTTTAGGAAATTATATTCTTTGTTTACTTGTATTTTTGTCCTGTTTCCCCTTAGTAGAACGGACGCTTCATGAAGGCAAAGGCCTTGTTTGCTACATCGCCAGAGCCTGACGCCATATCTAGTACTTAGTAGGCACCCAATCATTACTGGTCAGATGCATGAATGACACCCTAAACTCTGCTCTGCATGATTTAAAGTTAAGACGGACTGGGGGGTAGACCTGCTGGCCTTAACAACAACAACCAAGTTTCAAGAAAAGTCAACATGGATCCCAGACAAAGTTGCTTTGAAGAAAGTGTTGGTCTCTGCTGTGTGTGGCTAATGTCAGATCCTCCAGACTCAGCCTCCCCTCACAGAGTTTGTGCTCCCATAGCAATGACTGAATGAGGAAATGAGAGTATGTACCAGGCTTACCTCGGCTCCGGGTTATCTTCAGCTGCTGAGGATCTGGGAGGACTAGTGTTGTTACTGCAACTCTTACAGCAGCAAGAAACAATGGGGCAGTCAAGTCTTAGGACTGATGTCTCTTCCTGCTGGCATGCAGAAGTCAGGTAGAGTTCCCCCATCCCACTCGGACCCCCGCAAAATCTAGGGGCCTTGGCAATTCGGGATGAAGGGGAAATTTCAGAGAGGGGGTATCTGTGGCTTGAGATAGTTTTAACAAAGTTCAATAAAAATTTAAGAGCCAGGTTGGCAATTATTCCAGTTTCAAAATCATGAAGTCTATGAATGGTATGTTGAGGATCTGGAAACAGGAGGGAAAATAAATAATAAGCAATTAAGTATTGGTGAAAAGGGAGAAAATGCTGAAAAAAGTAATTGGAAGAAGATGGAGAGAGTACTTGTGTGGGGTGTGTAGACCATGTTAAGAAGCTTGGACCCAGCGCGGTGGCTCAGTTTGTAATCTCAGCACTTTGGGAGGCCTGAGCCCAGAGGTTAGAGACCAGTCTGGGCAACTTGGTGGGACCTAGTCTCTACAATAAATCACAAAAAAAATTAGCTGGGCGTGATAGCATGTGCCTGTTGTTCCAGCTACTGAGCCCAGCAGGTCGAAGCTGTGGTGGCCGTGAGCATGCCGCTCCCCTTCAGCCTGGGCTACAGAGTGAGACTCCAACTCAAAAAAAAAAGAAGCTTGGATTTTATCCAGAGAGCATGTGGGAGCCACGAGGGATTCTAAGCAGGGGAGTGACTAGTCTCTGGATTTTACTTGTACTTGGAGAGATCTTCTGTACTCCTGTGGAGTAAAGGGAAGGATACTGCAGATAAAACAGCAGTAGAAACCCTTCACAGTCTATTGAAGAGAGGATGAAAGTCTGAATAATAATTATCATTTTAGTCACAGCAGACGACTTAAACCAGGCAATTAATAAGCCCATTACACACCTAATCTTGTTTATGCCACAGCAGCCCTACCAAGCTGGCACTAATGTTCACAGCTCCATTTTACAAAAAGGTAAGCAAGTCATGAGCATGTCATTTGTCCAAGATCTCTCGGAACCCAGGCTTGAAAAGTTAGAGTGCTCTCTTCACTCCCTTGAACTAAGGCGTCGGAGGTGGGGAGAAAAGGAGGCAGATGCGAGAAATATTTCGAAGATAAATAATAGTTACTATGTTAGCATCAGATGATAGTAATGATGGTAAAGGCGATTTTATTCCTTCACACACTCAAGAACTTAACTTCAAATTGGGCGTTTGGGAAGAGATAAATAGATTAAGATGTCGGTGAGGCGCTAACAGTTGAAAGCGATTTAAAACTTCCCAAACTGCAGGGTACAACACCATTCCTATCCCCTGCCTCCAATTCACCGCAAGGTCCACACCTACCTGGGTTCTCCCCGCCCTGCCACGCGCCAGATCCGCAAGCGCCGGCCCCGCCCCGCCCACGCCCCGCCCACGCCCCGCCCACGCTCCGCCCACGCTCGTCCCACGCTCCGCCCCGTCCCACGCTCCGCCCCGTCCCACGCTCCGCCCCGTCCCACGCTCCGCCCACTCGCCGCCCATGCCGCGCCTCCATCACCGACGCCGCGCCTCCATCACCGACACCGCCCCTCCGCGGCGGCGCACGCCCCGCCCCACGCCCTGCTCATGCCTCCCGCGGCCAGGAGCGCATCCGCGGGCCACGTGGTCCGGCGTCCGCGCGCAGTCGGCTCGCGGCGCCGCGCTTCCGGCTTGGCGGCGGCGGCGGCGGCGGCGGCGCAAGGGCCGAGGCTCGGCGGCGGAGAAGCTGCAGAAGCGGGCCGGGCCGGGCCGGGCCGAGCCGGGCGGGGGGCCGGCGTAAGCTCCGCGGGGAGGCCACCAGTGGGTCGGCAGCGACCTGGACCGCTCCGGGCGGCCCTGAGAGGTAGGTCCGCCCCCCGTGCGCTTGGGACCCGCGGCTCCGTGGCCCCCGCCGTCCGCGGCTTTGATGGGCTCTCGCGGCCTGCGCCCGAGCCGGGGCTTTCCCCGCGCGGCCTCCCCCGGGGGCTCCCGGGCGCCAGCCGTCCTTCCAAAGCCAGGCCCCACGCAGCTTACGTTGCTGTGTTATGGCAGCCACCCCAAGTTCGCTTTGCACGTGGACATTTTCTTCACCTTTTTCGTTGGTTTTGTTCCCACAGGCGAAATGGCCAAATGATGTGTGAGATGGAGACGGCGTTCTTTCCTTGCGGTATTTGTGCAGCCGTAGAAAGTTAGTGCTTCGAAGGACGAGAGATGGTTGAGCCCATTGCGGCCTTTTAGGGGAGGAAACGGCCCCTGGGAGGTTACATGAATGTTGGAAATTGACCAGCTAGGTAATGGTGTAAGAAAAATTCAAAGCGAAGCTTTTAAATAGACTTCTAAAACGGTAATGGCAAAAGTCAATGAACCATGTGAATAGTAGGCTCATGTGGGCTGGGATTAATATTTTTTCCCTTATTTCAGGCCAAATCTGAAATATATCTGAAAATGGCAGGAACATCCCCGGAGCCTTCTGGGAAGCTTGTTGTACACTCAGAAACTCACAGTGACACTGTCCTGGCCAGTTTTGAAGATCAGAGGAAAAAAGGCTTCCTCTGTGACATTACTTTAATTGTGGAGAATGTGCATTTTCGAGCCCATAAAGCCTTACTTGCTGCCAGTAGTGAATACTTTTCGATGATGTTTGCAGAAGAGGGGGAGATTGGCCAGTCCATTTATATGCTGGAGGGCATGGTTGCTGACACCTTTGGTATCCTGCTGGAATTTATCTACACGGGTTATCTCCATGCCAGTGAGAAAAGTACAGAACAAATCCTGGCTACTGCTCAGTTTTTAAAAGTTTACGACTTGGTGAAGGCTTATACAGATTTCCAAAATAATCATAGCTCTCCAAAGCCAACAACTTTGAACACTGCTGGCGCTCCAGTGGTTGTTATTTCTAATAAGAAAAATGAAGCCCCAAAGCGGAAACGGGGAAGACCAAAAAAAGTCAATAACTTGCAGGAGGAGAAATCAGAACTGGCCGCAGAGGAGGAAATACAGCTAAGAGTGAACAATTCAGTTCAGAATAGACAAAACTTTGTAGTTAAAGGAGATAGCAGTGTACTGAATGAACAGCTTTCAGCAAAAGAAAAGGAAGACTCTCAGCCTGCTTGTGAGCCCAGTAGAGTGGAGGAAATGCCAGCAGAAAAAGATGAGAACTGTGATCCCAAGACCCAGGATGGACAGGACGGCCAGAGTCGGTACAGCAAGCGGAGGATTCGCAGATCCGTCAAACTCAAAGATTACAAACTCGTTGGAGATGAGGATGACCAGGGATCAGCCAAGAGGGTCTGTGGAAGGAGAAGGCGCCCTGGCGTCCCTGAGGCTCGTTGTAAGGATTGTGGCAAGGTTTTCAAGTACAATCACTTTTTAGCGATCCACCAGAGGAGCCACACAGGTAATTATGCTTTCAAAGTTTATTGCAGTGTGTTTTGGAATTTGGTGTAGTGGTGATAATAGTAGCTTTCATTTATCATGTAACTTCCATGCAAAGGACCTTTATACAAAGCATTACCACATTTAATTTTCACAGCAGTCGTACAAAGTAGATGACCAGAGTTCTAGAGAACTTAATAACTCACCCATTAGGAACAGGGATGGGATTGAACCCAGGTAGCGAGGTAGATGACCAGAGTTCTAGAGAACTTAATAACTCACCCATTAGGAACAAGACTGGGATCGAACCCAGGTAGCCTGGTTCCAGAACCCCTCTTTTTCTTTTTTTTGGAGTGAGAGTCTCACTCTGTCACCCAGGCTGGAATGCAGTGGCACACTCCCGGCCCTCACAGCCTCGACCTGCTGGGCTCAGGCAATCCTTCCACCTCAGCCTTCCAAGTAGCTGGAACTACAGGCACGTGCCACCATGCCCAGCTAATATATATATATTTTTTTAATTTTTTTTTTTTTGAGTTCGAGTCTCACTCTGTCGCCCAGACAGGAGTGCAGTGGCCACTCCCAGCCACCGCAGCCTCGACCTGCTGGGCTCCGGAGATCCTTCTGCCTCAGCCTTCCAAGTAACCGGAATTACGGGTGCGCGCTACCACGCCCGGCTGATTTTTTGATTTATTGTAGAGATGAGGTCTCGCCTGCCCAGGCGGGTCTCGAACCCGCAGGCTCAGGCAATCCACTCACCTCAACCTCCCAAAGGCGCGGGATTACAGGCTGAGCCACCGAGCCTGGCTTTTATTTTTATTTTTATTGTAGACATGAGGTCTTGCCAAATTGCCCAGGCTGGTCTCGAGCTCCTGGGCTCAGGCAATCCTCTTCCCTCCACCTCCCAAAGTGCTGGGATTACAGTCGTGAGCCACCGTGCCCAGCGCAGAACCCCTCTTATTTGGAGTTGTCTGTTCAAGGCTTTAACATCCATTCATCATGCTCTATCCTGATTTACTTTGCTCTCTGATTCTCACACATTCCTCATCTTGACCATGGCCATGCTTTTGCACTGGTCTGTGTGGACAGCTTTCTAGCTCCGCCATCTGGCTTGTAAATGCTTCTCCCTTTGGGCCTCTCTAGCTCTCGTGTGATGGTGGGAATGTTCTATATCTCTGCTATCTAATATGGTATCACTGACCACATGGGGATTTTGAACACTTGAATTGTGGCTAGTGTGACTGAGAAGCTGAATTTTTAATTTTATTTAGCTAATATAAATTTGAATAACTGGCTATAATCCCAGCACTTAGGAGGCCCAAATAGGAGGATTGCTTGAGCCCAGGAGTTTGAGACAGGCATGGCAACATAGCGAGATTTTGTCTCTACAAAAATTTTTTTAAAATTAGCTGGGCATGATAGCACATACCTCTTAGTTACTTGCGAGACTAAGGCTGGAGCATCACCTGAGCCCAGGAGATCAAGGCTGCAGTGAGCCATGAATGTGCTGCTGCGCTCCAGCCTGGGTGACAGAGTGAGACCCTGACTCAGTTACAATAATAATAATAATAATAATAATAAATTTGAATAGCCACATGTGGATATTGAACAGTGCAGCCCAAGCCTGAAATCCCTTCCTCCTTTAAACCTGCTTGGGTGTTTTGTTAACTCACTCTGCTCTGGGTCAATTTGTGGTTGCCACTCTTCCGTCTCTCAGTTTAGTTATAGGCTGTGGTGGCAGGTGATCAACTCTTCTCCTGTCACCCAGCAGCCACTTGCTGTCCAGCAGCATCTGGTGCTGTGCTTCTCAACCTGCAAATTAGAATGGCCTAAAACAATCAGTGCCAGGCTCCTGTCCCCAGAGCTTCTGACTTAATTGTCTTGGTGCTTTCAAAAGCTCCCCAGAGATTTTTACCTACACATAGGTTGAAAGCCCTGAATTCTGTTACTTTGAGCAAAGTAAATACTTGAGAAATATTTGTTGAACTGTACTAAATTGTATTTTGGTTATTTTTATCCAAATTCATATGTGCATAGTTAACAGTTAAATTATTCTACAAGACTTAAGAAAAAAATAACGTGTGTGAGCGTCTCTTTGACCCCCAGCCCAGACGGTCCCTGACTCGTGATGGTTTGAGTTACAGTTTCTTGACTTTGCAGTATGTGAAGGCCATACACATTCAGTAGAAACCGTACTTAGAATTCCGAATTTTGATCTTTCCTGGGCTAATGATATTCAGGACAATACTCTTATGGGCTGCACAGGGCAGCCATGTGGTCACTAGGATCAACAACCCATACTGCACAGGGTAGTAGTTAAGTACATTTCTGACTTAAGATATTTTCAACTTACGATGGGTTTATCAGGCACGCAGCCCCATCTTAAGTCTAGGAGCATGGGTGTTTTGACATTTTGCAGTCAGTTGCTCTAGTGTGCACCTGTTTTCTCCCATGTGAGTAAATACCAGGTAAATCCATACAGTTCTGGAAACCATCTTTCAGCTCCAGAAAATGTTCTTGAATTATTTCGTAGGTGACTTCCTCTCCCTGTTTTCTCTGTTCTTTCCAGAGCTGCTGTTTGGATGTTGAACCTTTTGGACCCATTCTCTAACTTTCTTTTCTCTCATGTTTTTTATTAGTTTTTGCTCTGCTTTCCAGAGAGTTCACTTTAGCTTTCAACCCTTATGGGTTTTCTATTTCTGCTCTTACTTGTTTACTTCCAGGAAACTTCTAAGGTTTCTTTTTCATTCAAATTCTCTTTTTATTTCACAATGTAGTATCTTACCTCTCTGAGCATGTTAATGATAACACACAGTCGGGCACCGTGGCTTATGCCTGTGATCCCAGCACTTTGGGAGGTCCAGGTGGGAGGATTGCTTGAACCCGGGTGTTCAAGACCTGCCTAGACAACATAGCGAGACCTCGTCTATATAAAACATCAAAAAATTAGCCCGTCATAGTAGCATGCGCCTGTAGTCCCAGCTACTCTGGAGGACTGAGGTAAAAGGATTGCCTGAGCCTAAGAGTTCGAAGCTACAGCGAACTGTGACCATGCCACTCCAGCCTGGGTGACAGAGTGAGACCCTGACTCAAAAAAAAACAAAAAAAACAATGGAAATAACACTTGTTAGTTTTTAACATTTTCTTCACCCCAGGCAAGTTGCTTTTTTTTTTTTCTTCTTGTTTATTTCGATATCCGTCTCTGCTTTAAAGCTTTCCTTGAATGCCTGGTGACTTTTTTTAAAAATCATGTTTAATTATACGTGAGAGCGAGTTAGTAAAAGCTGCCAACAGCATGCTGTGTATGTGTAGAGAGTCTGTAAAACTGCTCTTGCCGGAAACGGCGTATCTGGACCCACTCCCTGGCTGATGCCTGACTGCACGTCTTCACTCTTACCCGTCCTTTCACCTTCCAGGAAAGATGCTTCCTCTCTCCCTCCTCCATGAGGCCTGGCTCATTATCTCAAAGGTGAATGTCGATTTTCTTTCCCTGTGAGGATCCCCCTCCGCTGTGCCTGGCCACCCCGAGACCATTAGTTTTTACTTCAGAGACTGTTCTCCATCTTCTTTTGGAGAGAAGGCCAGTCTCGTGGTTGTGTGGGGTGGGAGACTAGATTAGGGGCTTCACTACCTTTGAAGCCATCTGTCATCCCCCCTCCCCACTATTTCCAGAGACAGCAGGTGCCACCAATTTGTGAGCCTTTAGGGGGCTGTATCCTAAAAAATTAGGTTGTTATCTCAGGGCTCACTGTTGGCTTTGGATCCATCTGTTCCAGCTTCCAGAATCTTCCTGCTGAATGTCATCTCATGTGTTCCTTAGCCTTTGGATGTGTGCCGTTTAAGAGAAATTCTTGACTGTTGATTTCATTTGGGAGGGACAGAAAGACATGTGGGTTCTTGCTGACGCTGTGCTTCTGGGCTCTTGTTCCAGGGGAGCGACCTTTCAAATGTAATGAGTGTGGAAAAGGCTTTGCCCAGAAGCACTCTCTACAGGTCCACACCAGGATGCATACCGGCGAGCGGCCGTACACCTGCACCGTGTGTGGCAAGGCTCTGACCACCAAGCACTCGCTCCTGGAGCACATGAGCCTGCACTCAGGTAGCCGGGCTTTCACCAGAGGGCCAAACACCACCAGGTTCCCATTCCCCAGTGTGGGCATCACCAAGACCGAAATCATGTTTCTCAGCCTGGCATCATTTCCCACATGATGTTATTGAAAGACTGGATTATGCAACTGACAGAATGCAGTTTAGAGTTCTGATCTTTATACTAGAGCTTATAAACTGGCTGCTGGGAATTCAGCTTGCAAACATGTTTTACTAAACCACCAGAGTTTAGAGTTATTTTCCTTTGAATGCCTTTGGGGGAAACTTGAATTCTCTGTTTCTACCCCAGTCCCCACCACTCCTTATTGCCTTACATACCTTTGCACATTTATGAGGTAGACTCTAAAGGCTTTTGAGTTTATAGACAAATCACTTGTAGAAAATGGGGACCTGGCACACTGTAGTACTTACTCTATTAATGAGCATCCTAGTTCTTTATAGTATTTTGCATGTTTTAGTGTTTTGGTTTTTTCGGCAGGACAGAAGTCTTTTACCTGTGATCAATGTGGAAAATATTTCAGCCAAAAAAGACAACTGAAGAGCCATTACCGAGTTCACACAGGTACAGTAAAGAGAGAAAACGTGGATTGTGGTGAAGAAATGCAAATACAAGTTGCTTCTAAAACCTTAGATTCATTGAAACCTTAGATTTGTATCGTAGGTATAGGGAAAAGAATCCTAAGCAATCTACATTGTATGTTCTTATGTACATCTGAGCTGCCATGTGAATTATATTTAATTTTTATGTTTGGTGCCGCACACAGAAACCTGACAGAATTGGCATTTTCTTTTTTTGAGTTGGAGTCTCACTCCGTCTCCCAGGCTGGAGTGCAATAGCATGCTCACGTTCTGCTGGGCTCTGGCAATCCTTCTGCCTCAGCCTTCCAAGTAGCGGAACTACAGCTGGGTGCTACCACACCCAGCTAATTTTTTGTAGAGATGAGGTCTCACCAAGTTGCCCAGGCTGTTCTTGAACCCGTGGCCTCAGGCAGTTCTCTCACCTCAGCCTCCCAAAGTGCTGGGATTACAGGCTTGAGCCACCACGCTCAGCTACCAGAATTGGTATTTTCAAAAACACCATTCTTCCAAGGGGGCTTCAACTGATTGGCTGTTAGCGGTACCTGGGCAGAGACATCACCCCATGGCTGACTGTCAGCCTGGGCTTTTTTCTGCCTGGTTCTGCCCATCGTCCTTTTCCTTTCCTACCAACTGATCAGAAATGAACATGGGTTGGGAGTGTCACTTGAGACCATGTGTGGTCACAGTCTCAGCGGCACTTTGAGGAAAAAAAAGGAGATTATGTTTAAGAGAAATAGAAGGGTCCTAGCCCTCTTGGGGAAAGCAGTGAGTTGAGGTGCAGAGAAAAATATGAACTGTTACCAAGTTAGTAAAAAAGTTTTTGTTGTTAAAGTGCCATATTTAAAGTGATTATTTTTCAGGGAAGTGCTTTAACACAAATCACTGAAGAAATGCAGGGACAGCATATATGCACTGACACTTTTTTTGTTGTTGCGACAAGGCCACTCGTTACCGGAATGCAACCACTGCCATCGCAAATTCATGGATGTGTCGCAGCTAAAGAAACACCTGCGAACACACACAGGTAACTCGTCTCATCTGCCCTCCCTGTATGTATACTCTGTGTTTTCCTGTGAGTGAGGAGTCCCCTTCTCACATTTGAGAGTGTTGATTGTAAATTGGACAGGAGTTTTGTAAGCAGATTAGTTCAAAGCTCAAGGCAGAATGCTGTCTGCATTGTCTATGGGGGAAGTCACACCTCTTTGTAGGCTAGCAAAACAAAGGTCACTTACTGAGCACTAGTCATAGGTGAAAATTCATTTAATACCACAAAATAGTATGAGTTTACATCCAACTAAGTGTTTCACTCTTAGTTTACTTCAACACTAGACTGATGCTGATGGCTCACACCTATAATCTGAGCACTTTGGGAGGCTGAGGAGGGAGGATCACTAGAGGTCAGGAGTTTGAGATCAGCCTGACCCCGTTTGAGATCAGCCTGACCCCGTCTTTAATTTTTAAAAAATTAAACAAAATAAATAAAATCAAAGAATTTACTTCAGTATTGAAGATTATCAAGATAAAATTTTTAGAAAAGGCAGCAAAGTATAATAGACATAAAGGTAGCATAGGCACTAAGAATATTTCTACTTCTCCCCTAGAACAAGCATTTACAGCTTGAGTATCACTACCTCCAGGAAATCAGCTTCAGGGATAAATAGGTGGCAGGATTTTAGGGCATGTCAAATTTTTTCATTTAAGATCAGAAAAGTAAAAATGTGGGTCTTTTATACCCTTTGGTAAGGAGCATGTGTTAAAAACAAGCTTATCAGCCGGGCTCGGTGGCTCAGCCTGTAATCCCAGCACTTTGGGAGGCCGAGGTGAGTGGACTGCCTGAGCCCGCGAGTTCAAGAGCCACCTGGGCAACTTGGTGAGACCTCGTTTCTACAATAAATAAAAAATTAGCTGGGTGTGGTAGTACACGCCTGTAGTTCTGGCTACTTGGAAGGCTGAGGTGGAAGGATCGCCGGAGTCCAGCAGCTTGAGGCTGCGGTGGCCAGGAGCATGCCACTGCACTCCAGCCTGGGCGACAGAGTGAGACTCCAACTCAAAAAATAAATGAACAAATAAAATAAGCTTATTAGATTTTTTAAGAAAAACTTTTCATTGTAGGTTGATTGTTTAATGGTTCTGTTAAATTATCTGCTAAAGTTACCTAAATATCAAATTGATGTATGGTGCTGTGTACATTGTTTTTTTAATACAGGTTTTCCTTAAATCAGTTAATGTCTCATAGAGTATGGGTTTTATTAAGATGGTCTCTATACAGCCTTTCTATAGACATGATCATTAATAGATTCTGTAAAATGTAATTAATCCATCTAACACATTTACTGAGCAGTTACTGGGAGCCAGACACTGTTGTGACCTTGAGAATGTAGCAGTGAGTGAGATGGACAGGCCCCTGTGCTGAGGGACCAATATCGAACAAGGAAGACAGCAAACACGTATGTAACATGTGGGGTGATGTAAGCTCCATAAGGAATAAAACCCAGGGCTCACGACAGGGCACTGCTCTCTTTTGGGGTTCTGGTCTGGGAAGGCCTCATGGTAAGGTGGCATCTTGGGTAGAGATGAGTGCAGTGGGGGAGCAAGCCAGTCATGTGGATACCCAGGAGAGAGCATGCTAGGCAGGGGTGCTTGGGCACATGGCCCTCGGACAGAAGTGTCTGAAATACCATGAGTGCAGAGGTGGGGCAGGGTACTGGGATGAGGGGGTGTGGTGTAGGTCAGAGACAACTGGAGTCTGCGTCATCCAGGGACACTCTGTAGCCACATGCTTTGATCACCAGAGAAGCTTATTTTAAAAAATAAGTCTTCAATGTCCATTATACCATTAATTTTTAAAAATAATAAAATAAAAAATAAACTTAAAAACCTGGTCTCCAAAACAAAAAAAATTCCTGGTCCCAAGCTCCGAGATTCTGATAGACTTGACCTCAAAAAACATCTGTCATCAGACAGACTTTTTGAGATGTTTTCAACCCAGTGGAATTGAATGATAAAGTTAATGTTGCTGTGTGTGTTTCCCGCACAGAACTTCACAATCACCAGCAAACAGCAGGTGCTCAGTCTGTGAATGTGGTGCCGGGGGAAGCCAGCCAAGATCAGAGTGGGTCCCAGCGCTGATGTAGGAAACTAGACAGACATGGCAGCGACCTGGCCTTACTCTTTGGTGAGGCAAGAGCTAATGGTGCAGAGATACAGATTCATCCAAGTTGTCACAGGTGTCTTCTGCCTTCTTGGAGCTTTGAGAAGTGTCTTGCTTGAATTTTCCAGGGGCCTCTGTGACAGGAAGCTTGCTGGCCACCCTCCACTTCAGAGTGCACTAAGCCCATGCTGTTCTCTAGTTCAGCAGGCGTCTGTTGCTTGCTTTTTAAATTTTAAATTCAGTTTTCCCACCTGCATTAGGATTACTTGATTTTGTTTCTGGAGGACATGAACAGTCTGTTATTACATGTGCTGTGAACAAACTATCACTGTGTAATGCTTGTTGATGTTAATGAAGCAGAGCAAAGGAGTCACCCCCGTGACATGCGTTCATTCAGCAGGGATTTCTGGACTGGCATGCTAGGCCAGATTCTAGGCAAGGGGGCATGATCTGGCATGAGAAGGGAGATGGATAATAAACATACACAGTATCAAGATGGTGTTTCCATTTGCAAAAACTAAATTGGGGAAGTGAACCTAGGAGTGCATAGAGTTGGAGGTGCTCTTGGTGGTGATGAAGCCTCACTGGTAAAGCAACATGTGAACAGAGACTTGAGGATGAGGTGAGTGAACCACCCCAGGAGACAGCCTGAGATGAGGTCAGGGAGGTTTGGGGTGAGGAATTGTGGGGTGTTCAGACATATGAACCCGTGTAGGCCAAGAGCTTTGACTTCCATCTCGCATGGGCGACTGTTTTGGTCTGTTTGTGTTGGTGTACCAGAGGTTCGGTAGCTTGTCAAGAAAAGAGGTTTATTTGGCTCACAGTTCTGCAGGCTGTTCAGGAAGCACAGTGCCAGCATCTGCGTCTGGTGAGAGAGGAGGGAAGGAGAGAGGAGGTGCCAGCAGTCAGATCCAGTGGGAACTAATAGAGCAGAAACGCCCCTCACAAGGGATCTGTCTGCCCCCAGGACCCAAACACGTCCCCCAGCCCCACCTCCAGCACTGGGATTAGGTTTCAACACTGAAGTTGGAGGAGACAGATCTCTGAACTGTGTCAGGACCCTTGAGAGCCGCAGCCCCAGCATAAAGTGGTCTGGCTGCATCAGGGCTCACTGGTGGTCACACTGCTATGAGTGGCAGGGAAGCGAGAGGCCCACAGGCGGTGAGGGTCAGTGGTGGCACAGGCCAGTGGGGGTGGTGAGCAGTGCTAGAATTCTGGATACATTTGGAAGGTCACTGCCAATGTGAATCATACATAAGTCACCCTGGAGCACAGGCATCGTTAGGGTTAAGTGGGCTTCTTAACCAGGCAGTGAGGTGGGAGAGTGGGCACTACTGGGATGTCTGAGGGGAAAGCACAGGAGTGAATGTCATGTGTTCTTTGTTTCCTGTGTGTAAAAATGTACCTCATTTTGATTTTCAAGTCTTAAGGGAAAGAACCTTATGCTTCTCTGTATACCCTTGGCATAGTACACAGTGCTTAGGGACAGAGTGGATGCTTTGGCGATTGCCAGATTCATTCACGCTACTGAGGATATCCACTGTCATTTTTATTATTTTATTTATATATTTTTATTTTTATATGTATTTTTTGAGTCAGGGTCTCACTCTGGCATGATCCTGGCTCACTGCAGCCTGGACCTCCTGGGCTCAGGCGATCCTCCTCAGCCTCCTAAGCAGCTGGAACTCCAGGCACGCACTAACTAGCACATGCAGCTAATTTTTGTATTTTTTGTAGAGACCAGGTCTTGCTATGTTGCTCAGGCTGGACTTTGTCCTTTTTATATTAGGAAACTGTGAAGTGCTTTTTGGCTTTTGTTTTATCCTGAATGTTTATTTCTAAATACTTCCTTTTTTAGGCGAGAAGCCATTTACTTGTGAAATCTGTGGCAAATCTTTCACAGCAAAGAGTTCTCTTCAGACCCACATCAGAATCCATCGGTAACGTTCTGCAGAGGTTTTTTTCACACGGAGGCCTCGTTCTTTTGTGTTGTTCAGTGGAGTGACAGGTGTTACTCATATAGTTCTTTTCCCCAAATTGTTCCTTTGGCAGAATTTTCTGTGTAGTTTATTATTTTATCTTTTCAATAGTGAAATTCCTCACCTATATAGAATCAGGAATATTGATTCTGGCAAGTAAAAGTTTACATTATTGATTTCATTTATTGAATTTTGGTTTATCGTGGAGATGAGATCTCACCAAGTTACCCAGGCAGGTCTGGAACCCCTGGACTCAGGCAGTCTTCTCACCTCCACCTCCCAGAGTGCTGGGATTACAGGCGTAAGCTACTGCACCTGGCTTAGACCTTAAATTTAATGTTTTCGGCCAGAAAGGGTGGCTCATGCCTATAATCCCAGCACTTTGGGAGGCCGAGGTGAGAGGATTGCCTGAGCCTACGGGTTCGAGACCAGCCTGGGCAACTTGGTGACACCTCGTCTCTACAATAAATAAAAAAATTAGCCGGGTGTGATGGTACGTGCCTGTAGTTCCAGCTACTTGGAAGGCTGAGGCGGAAGGATCACCTGAGCCCAGCAGGTCGAGGCTGCGGTGGCTGTGAGAGTGCTGCTGTACTCCAACCTGAGCAACAGAGTGAGACTCCAAGTTAAAAAAAAAAAATTAATGTTTTCTACATAAATATTTTTGTTCACACAGATTACTTCTATACTGAACTTAGGAGTTCATCTAACTGTATCACAAATAATTTAAGGCTGGTTACATTTTTAAAATTGGCATTAGTCTTACATATTTATTTGGCCATTAGAGTCTAAAACTTGACTATGAGGACTAAAAACAAAGCAAAACTAAAAACTGTGTATTTACTTTCTTATCTGAAATCATAAAATCTTATCTCATCCCCACCTGCAACCCTTTCTCAAGCACAGCTCCACCGTTTTTTTTTTAGATCAGAAACTGAAGCTTGTGGTTTAAGCTTGTACTTCAAGTTAATTTAGTAAGAGAACCCATGACTTACGACTTGCCGTGTAGTTAATTTTCCTCCATTCTTGATTGCTTCTCCTTAAATAATCAGGAAGTAATAAACAGGTATTTCCATCTGTTAAATAAAATGTGTATTTTCTTGTAGAGGGGAAAAGCCATATTCATGTGGCATATGTGGCAAATCCTTCTCTGACTCCAGTGCCAAGAGGAGACACTGCATTCTACACACGGGCAAGAAGCCATTCTCCTGCCCTGAGTGTAACTTACAGTTTGCTCGCTTAGACAACTTGAAGGCTCACTTGAAAATCCACAGCAAAGAGAAGCACGTGGCAGATGCCAGTAGCGTTTCCGGCAGTGGTAATACTGAAGAGGTCAGGAATATTCTTCAGCTACAGCCATATCAACTCTCTACCTCAGGAGAGCAGGAAATTCAGCTTCTTGTAACCGACTCTGTACATAACATCAATTTCATGCCCGGCCCCAGCCAGGGAATCAGCATTGTTACTGCAGAGAGTTCCCAGAGCATGACCGCAGACCAGGCTGCTAATCTTACCCTGCTCACGCAGCAGCCGGAGCAACTGCAGGATTTAATTCTTTCAGCTCAGCAGGAGCAAACAGAACACATTCAGAGCCTCAGTATGATGGAAAGCCAGATGGAGCCCTCACAGACAGAGCCAGTACACGTGATCACGCTGTCCAAGGAGACCCTGGAGCACCTTCACGCCCATCAGGAGCCAACAGAGGAGCTCCATCTGGCAACCAGTGCTCCTGACCCAGCTCAACACCTGCAACTAACCCAGGAGCCTGCTCCCCCGCCACCCGCTCACCACGTACCCCCGCCTGCCCCGCTTAGCCAGGAGCAGAGCTGACCTGTGGACATGTTTGACTCCTTGACTGGGCTCTTCTCCTGAGCCAGCCATAACTGGATTGTGATGCTTGAAGTCAGGCTCTGAAATGTCAACCTGCAGATTCTTCTGGAGAGAAGTGATAGCTAGTTGTGGGTACCGTGCTCTCCGTCCAGGCTGCAAGTTGGTGTGTGTATTGTCTTTTCTATTATACTGATCTATAGTTAGCAGTGCAATACTGATGAATGGTTTTCATTTTCATCCACTGCATCTCTTAAAGATGAGGGTCATTTTTCTTTGGGACATTGGTTTAGACTTTACTGTAAGTATTAAATGTTCATGGCCATGTGTTATGGCCTTTCCAATTATTTTTTATTTTTATTTTTTAGGAACGGATATAAAATAATGGTTGAGCTGGGCAGAATGGTTGGCTCCGCTTTATTTCTCTTAGGCAACACAGTTGCCACTACAAGACAATTCAGGGCTAAATATGACAGTTTAAAATGTTTGGGGAACTTGTTCTTACAATAACTTGAAATCTCCTAAGAAAGAGTAATCTTTGACATTTCATCTTTGTGTTGCACAGGGCTTATCGTGTCATGCTTAAGGTAGATTCAAATTTATATAAACTAAATGTTTTGAGTCAGAATTCACAGAACAAAACCAAAGTATAGGATTTAAAAAAAAATTCTGAGCGCTGTGCGTAGTAGCTTACACCTATAATCCCAACGCTATGGGAGGCCAAGGCGGGAGGATTGCTTGAGCCCAGGAGTTCAGACTGCAGTGAGCCATGATGGTGCCACTGTATTCCAGTCTGGTTCACAAAGTGAAACCCTGACTGAAAAAAAAAATCTGAATTTAACTTTTCTGAGAAACATGAATTTACTTAAAAAAAACCACAATCTATCAAATTTTAATTAAAAAGTCAAAAATATCGCAGACATCATCACTATGCAATGTATCTGTGTATCAAAACTATTTGTACACCCTAAGTTTTACCAAGAAGTCTAAAATGTGAAATTGGATCAAAACATTTGCCCCAATTAAATTATGGATTTTTGTCAGAATGTGATTTGATTTTCATGCTGAAGTTAAAGCTTTCTTAACTATCCTGAAATATATGATCTTATTCGGTGTAATTTAAGTGTTAAATGTACTCTACTAAATTCTAATGGATCTCTTGAAAAGATTTGTGTGTTATGTCTGATAACTTTCTAGAGATGGAACCCTATTATAATCTATTTTTATTGCAGACTAGGTTAAATCCTACCAAATGGTCACACCATTTTTAAAAGTAAATATCTTCTAATCTTAAAAATAACTTTGGACCTCAGAGACTTAGTAGCCACCATATGGCTGTAATTGTTGTGTGATTTTAAATCACAAAAGATGAGATTACATTTAGGTTAGGTTTTCAAGCTCAGCATATTTTATTGTATTCTACCACTTTCATGTAAACTGATAGAGGATTTTTGAGAAAAGATGGGTACTAGTGTATTTAAACTAGCAATGCTGGCGGAGAGTAGGGGCAATCTCCTCTAAAATTAGTAGGGTCTTTCCATCAATTGTTTTCTTGTTTTTACATCTTTGCTTTTCACCTAAATCAGTTTTTTGGAGGTTAAAGTAATAGAGAATTATTAGGTTTGAGAGAAAATGAAAACATTTTTGTTGCTTATTTTCTAAGCTATATTTTAGCATATATAATTCACAAAATTTCTAAAATGATGTATATCTTATATGAATCAACCATAGTAATGGTAAATCAGGCCTAACTAGAGCAGAGTTATAATTTTTACAAATACTGTTTTTTGGTAAGTATTATTTTAGGTTCTTGTTTCAGTCGTTTAAACTGGACCATTTTATTCTTAAAACGCAAAGTTTTTGCCAGCTTTTCAAAGCCTACTGACTCACATTTTCTCCAGGGAATTCATAGTATTAAAGTAAATGAGTTTTTACTCATTCTAGATTGCTACATAATTATTAAGGAAATATGGTGACATGGTTATTTAAACATAAGTCAAGTTTAACTGGCCATACGACAGTCTACCTCTGTACTAAGAGAACTGTAAGATGACGTGTATTATTTTAAATTTTTTAGTAGCCACATTTAAAAACATTTTTTAAAAGGTGAAATTAAATTTCTTTTTTTTTTGAGTTGGAGTCTCACTCTGTCGCCCAGACTGGAGGGCAGCGGCGTGTTCCCAGCCTCCGCAACCTCCGCCTGCTGGGCTCCAGTGATCCTTCCACCTCAGCCTTCCAGGTACCCAGAACTACAGGCACGCGCTACCATGCCCAGCTGATTTTTTGATTTATTGTAGAGACGAGGTCTCGCCAAGTTGCCCAGGCAGGTCTCAAACCTGCGGGCTCAGGCAATCCACTCACCTCAGCCTCCCAAAGTGCTGTGATTACAGGCTGAGCCACCAAGCTTGAAATTAATTTTAATAAGCTTATTTAATCCAACAGTTACCAGATATTTCAACATATAAGATCAGTATAAAAATATATTAGTGAAGGCCAGGCATGGTGGCTCAAGCCTATAATCCCAGCACTTTAGGAGGCAGAGGCGAGAGAATTGCCTGAGCCCAAGGGTTGGAAACCATCCTGGGCAACTTGGCAAGACCTCATCTCTACGGTAAATTAAGAAAAGTTAGCTGGGTGTGGTGGCGCACGCCTGTAGTTCCAGCTCCTTGGAAGACTGAGGTGGAAGGATCACCTGAGCCCAGCAGGTTGAGGCTGCAGTGGCCATGAGTATGCCACTGCACTCTGGCCTGACTCAAAAAAAAAAGTATTAGTGAGATATTTTACATTCTCTTTTTCATATTCAGCCTTCAAAGTCTGGTGTGTATTTTACACTTCTGCACATCTCAATTTAGATGCTGATATTCATTGCAATCCTGGGTCTGTATTTAGATTTCATGCAGTTTACAGCTAGAAATCTAGATTCTCATACCAATTAGCTGCAGACAAAAGTTTTTAGAAAAATAATTGAAACAAATATTGGTTTTTAAATTTATTTTATAGTTCAAATTGAATCTCAGTTCTTTGCTGCACGGGCCACATGGCAAGTGCTCAGTGGCCGCTTGTGGCTGGTGACTCCTGTCTGAGACAGCACAGGCCTGCTGGGTCCAGCTCCAGAGTCGGTCCCAGCCATGACTGGATGATTTGATCAAGGGTCAAAAGGAAATGAGAAAATGATAGCTTTGTCAATCTATCCTCTGTGTCCCAAATATACATTCTGCCCCTTGGAATGTAACTCTTATTTTTAAAGTTCAGTGACTTGTGCACCCAAAGGAAATGTTATGGATATAAAAGTGCTTCCAGTGAGTCCTTGCCACTGCAGTGTTTCACAAGTCATTTTGTACTAAACATGTACAACTTTTTAAGATCGTTTTTACAGAAATGCAAGGTGTATTTCTCAGGAAACAGTAGAATATTATGCTTTTGGACTATGGAAGCTCGCCTTGTTTTGAGGGTGAATCTTTGGTGTTCTCTTATAGAGGGCTGTGACCTGAGCTCTTGCCATCACAATTATTTGTAAATTAAGTTATTTGTGTGCCTGTCCAGCGTTTCTGGGAATGCCTCTTCCCACCTCTACTCTGTATGTTCTGCAGTTGGTTCTTGTGTTATCAGTGTTGTAACAGGTCAAATGATGTTGAGGAATAAAAAAACAAGTTTCATTAGGAACGCTTACCTGGGATTCTCATGATGGATGCCTGTCCAGGTTTTTATAAGTGGGAGCAGTAACAGCATCTGCCATGCGTGCAGTCCTTAACAACAGGCCAGGAGCCACGCCAGGTGCCCTAGGTCTGGATCCCAGCTTACTCGGTCTCAACCTTTTCCGGGTCATGACACACACATAGATAGGATTTACATAGCATCCTGTGGCTAGGACTCCAGTCATCTGGTCATGACTGGTGTATTAGTCTGCCAGGACTTCCATAACAAATACCACAGACTGGGTGGTGTAAGCAATAGAAATTTCTTCTTTCTTTTTCTTTTGCCGTATTGCCCTTATTTATTTATTTTTCAGAGGCAAGGTCTTACCAAGTTGCCCAGGCTGATCTCGAACCCCTGAGCTCAAGACAATCCTTTTGCCTCCACCTCCCAAAGTACTGGGATTACAGGCGTGAGCCACCGCACCCGGCAACAGAAATTTATTTTCTCAGTTTTGGAGGTTAGAAGCCCAAGATGGAGGTGTCAGCGGGGTTGGTTTTTTCTGAGGCCTCTCCCAGCCATCTTCTGCCTGTGTCCTCACATGTCTTTCACTCTAGGTCTGTGCCCTAATCTCTTTTAAAGACACCAGTTCTATTAGATTAGCTCACCCTAGTCTCACCTGTAACTGAATCAGCTCTTCAGATACAGTCCCATTCTGAGGTAATGGGGATTAGACATCGCCATGTGAATTTGGGGGAGGGGCATGATATCTGGCATCTGGAGTGAGGAGGAGAGCAGTGTCTGGGACACATCTCAATCGTCAGGACGTTCCAATGAGGTAAGTAATGTTATGCCCATTGCACAGATGAGACTGAAGGCCCAAGGCCATACAGTAAGTGGCAGAGCCAGAACTGGGGCACAGTTTTGAAACTTTAAGTAGAATTTCTTGTTACCTAAGGTCTTCTTGTAAGAGAAACTTTTTGACTAAAATCGAGGGTCTGTGCCTGAAATTATAGCAGATAACCATAAGCTTGTTACATAAAACGATAATAATGAAAGTTATGGTCTTTCTCCAACAAATTCAGTAATTACCGTATTAACATTCATATTAGTGTTTTGCTACTATTGATTTAAAGCTTAATCAAAATGTACCAATTGGAAGTTATTAAAGTGAAAATGTCTCAGTTAACATGACCTGTTAAGTGAGCCCTTTTTTCGATCTTCTGACTGAGGATATTTTAAATTTAGGGCAAATTTGTTTTATTTTTGCTATCCTTACAAGTATTGAGGCAAATTTTCATCCTCAGTTTCCAAACTCAAGCCTAAATCCTGAAGAATTGAAAGAAAATCCTTTGTTTTTCTTTTGAAAGCATCAGGTATGGAGGAATGACCTCTAACCATCCCTATTGTTTTCCTTTTGTAAATAGCAGGTATCAAGGAGTGACCTGTAAAAGAAACTAGAATGTCATTGTGACAGTTTATCCTACTTTCAAATTCTTTACACATAATTAAGCAGCAAAGACCTTAGTTGATTGGAATACACACACACACACACACACACACACACACACACACACACATTCATACTTCATTCTTACTTGAAAGTACCACATTAAGAGCTTTTAAACTAAACCTCAATCACATTTTCAATAAAAAATGTGCAAATTTGAATGCATTTAGGTAACAGGGATCTTGACTTTTTAAATATGCATCTGAAAAGTGGTTCAGTGTGAAATGTGGGGAAAAAAATATGAGCAGGAGTCAGGGTAAATAACTTACTCTAAATTCTTAATATCCATAATATATCATTCAAATATGAATTTGAAGATGATTATCTAAAATAATAGTTTGGTTCCTGGTTTTAGCTTATTCGTATTACTTTTATCCTTGTTAAATGAAAAGTCAAACTGAAGCGTCCTTAGGCGACATCAGCGTTAAAAACAAAACTGTCTACATTTTATTTTATTTATTTATTTATTTTTATTTTTTTGAGTTGGAATCACTCTGTTGCCCAGACTGGAGTGCAGTGGCCGCTCCCGGCCACCGCAGACTCGACCCACTGGGCTCTGGCGATCCTTCCACCTCAGCCTT